TTATTATTAATTGTAACAAAATAATGAGGGATGATTGGTGGTATGTTAAGACTTTAACAAGCAATATATCCAAGAACGAATCAGCAATGATCTTTTTAAGTATTACGACAACTTCGTTCTGACTACAATTTTCTTTACTTAAATTATAGACCGATAAATCGTCATGATAAAAATGTCCTTGTCCACACCAGTGTATCTCAGCTAAACCTAAAACCATTTTACATCTTAGTTCTTTACTGATTGTCGCTAACTTGCCTATTATAGTAGGTACCTTAAAAGATTTATTATCACCACTAGAAACTGATTTCGCATGCAGTGCTCAGAGGTTAACATTTGCATGCTCAGTAATCCATTACCTAATGTCTGCTCGAACACAGAACAGCACCGAATATCATACGAATTACCAAACTTGGTATACTCAGTACCTTTCATAATGCTCGTGGGAGGATTAGTGCAGTAGATTCATGACTCTGTTCGGAAAATATAGAAAGACAATGCGTCTACAGAAAAAAACAGCTTCTAACTGAACGAATAAAGAAACAAAGGGTATTATGGGCCAAAAAATACTCTAATTAGACTGTAGAAGACTGGAGAAAAGTCGTATTTACAAATGAGACTCTCTTTATAGTTCAGCGACAGAGGTAGAAATTCGTCAGGAAGTCAGACAATGTAATCCTTACACCATCTCATATTGATCAAACCATAAAACATCCAGTCAAAACAATGATTTGGGGATGTTTTTCGTATATGGGGGTTGGATCTTTGGTACCAGTCGAAGGCATGATGAACAGCCAAAATTACAAATCCATGTTGGAACATCGTTTGTACACAGAACTCAAAAAATAGACTGTACTACCAAAATAAAAATGATAGAAGCGGTCATTCAGGTTTGGTTTTGGGATGAAAGGATATCTGGGAACTGTCAGAGGCTTGTATAATCTATTCCAAAATGGATACAAGCAGTAGTTGCAGCCAAAGAGGGATATATTTAATATAATTTTTTTCTAAATAAACTGCTTTTTCATTAAAACAGACATTTTTCATTCCATTAATTCGCACAGTACCAAGTTTAAGTAATAATTTTACAAGGTAGAATTAATTTTACAAAGCAATAGTATATTTAATCTAATAAAAAATATATAAGACTAGTGGCTCTAAATTTTGTATTATTTGAAAGATTTCAAGACGGTTCTGGATCGCTGCGAAAGGCCATTTAAATATATGAACATGCAGATGTTTGTTTTCCAACATAGCTACACATATAGTTTGTTGTTTTCCGTCTTATACACTTTAATTTATATGAAAAGATTAAATTGCAAACCTTCCATTAGGCTAATAGAATCCTTTTATTTCCGATCCAGTTTTAAAATTAATCTGAATAGGGTTTTTTTTTCGAGTTAAATAAGTGCACCCTCTAACAGCTACTTGATTTAGTGGTTTACTGTTTTTATTTACGGCTTATTTATCGGTCGAGTAGATACGTAACGTTGAGCGCAGTGGATGGTTTTTCGCTAATTATGCCTTCAGTGGTTTGTTTGTTGGGAAAACTCGATGAAGTAGATTAAGATAATTAGGAATTTGTTTTATTTACTTTTTAGTGATCTGATTCTTTGATCTTTTAATACTAGACAAATTCCCCGCTGTTCTTTAATTATGTGCTTCTGATGGTTGATATTATCAATATCTTTTTCCTAAAAATGCAATTGTACTAATATTATATTTATATGAGATTAATCCACAATTGATGGCAATAAAAATTACATTTTCCGCAAATCGCCAGGAAATTTTGACATTCCTGTCAAAATTTCTTGAAGAAAAAGTCAGGACTTCCTTACTGTAAGGAAATGTCATTTCCTTACTGTAAGGAAATGATATTTCCGTACAGTTGTTAGTGTTCTACATAAAGTTTGACAATTCAACCTCAATACGTTTCCATAGTAACCCAAGTAATTTTATTAGGAATTTCAAAGCACCATTTATTTGGGAATAAAATTATCGCGTTTTTTTTAAATCAATCAATATCTGTCGAATTTTAAACGATTTGCGGAAAAATAGTATGTTTACCTCGTAGGAAAAGCCACATTCCTGGACTCTGTGTTGCTAAGTCTCGGCTTGCGCCTCGACTTAGCAATCTTCACAATCGTCCAGGAATGTTAAGCTTTTCCTACCCGGTAAACAATGTACTATTTACGTTTGTTTCCAGATTTCGATTTCCTGTCTCGTTTAAAAAAAAAGTTATTTTGTAACGAATATCTTTTGCCTACCACATGGGGTATGACTATTAAGGGTAGAAAATTGGGGACAGAAACTATGAAGATGGAGATAGGGCAAGCAAAATAACCGCTACTTGTGCGAACGGCACTCAGGGTTTGTTTATAGAGCTGGGGTCGTGGATAAGTAAATTGAAAAGTGGTTGGATTGGGGCAACTACAAAAAAATTAAATAAAGAGGTACTTACATAAATCTCTTGGGACAAACAAAGCAAAACACAGGAAGGAAACATCTCTAGCAATTTAAAAAGGACGCCGCTTGGAGGTGCCAAATTATCACGATTACAACAACTAGTTGTATCTAGGGAAATAAAATATTAGAAATGCAAAACATTTCCTTTTTTTTCAAATGAAACTCAAATGAAAAAGGGGTTAGTTAAGAAAATACACAAAAGAAAAACTTACATGTGTTCTAGCCGTTTACAAACTGTGTTACTACAAAACTTACAAATGTTGCTGAGCTATAAACCGTGGTAAATAAAAAATTTTTGCAAATAAAAAAAATATCTTTTTAAATAATGAAAGCAATTATTAATTTTAAAAAAATATATCTTGACTTTAAAATTTATACACAAAAAGTTACCTTAATAACTTTATATACACTTTATAACTTAAATTTCTGGAACCATAACTGGAAATATAACTGGGGTTGAACTCTCTGGAAAAAACGGGGACAGGTAAAATTGGACTGCAATTACACATTAAATTGCTACTATTAACCGCTACTAAACTTATTTTTCATAACGTAAGATGAAGGACATTACAAATTTGATGACAAATTTGGACCCAAGCTAAAATCGACTACCTCTGGTAGCGATCCCAGCGAGAATGGTGAAATTGTCTTTAAAATTAATTCACATAAATTGGAATAAACAAAGCACTTAACGTTGGTTGAAACGCAAAACATTAATTTGAAAACGCAGTATAAGGCAGTTCAAATAAAACATTAAAAGAAATACCCGAGGAAGTACAAGTTATCTGTTAAATATAAACAAACTATAAAATGGTTTATTTTCGACCTCGGTGACGCTAAGATGAATTGAAAACATATTTGGATTTTAATTTGTACGAAAGGAACAGAGAAACATGGAAAAATTCTTTGTTATTTTAATTCATATATGAAGGGATTTCAATTTAATACATATACGAGGGGATTCCAATATATACCAAACAATTTATTTATTTCAAAGCATTGGCAAATGCTACAATTTTAAGTAAAAAGTTGTAACATATTACGCAACAAATTGTGTTAACACCTTGACTAAGTCACATATCCGCAGGGGCATGTGCGTAATTTTTCAACTGTGCTGTAGTAAAATTGGTCAAACCGTCGCATCATGCGGTAGCGATAAAAAAGCTATCGATAGCAAATATTTAATTCTCGTTACTGATGTCGGTAATATGAGACCTGCCTCCGGAGACACGTGTCGCACATAAACAAAAATTTATTGTTATTGTCTATTCGCTTAGCTAGGGCATATTTTGACAGACTCATTGTAGGAAACCTACAACACAACAATTCCTACTTCTCAGTATAAATAGCTCAAGTATACTACTATTGCAGACCTCTTTCTTTGAAAAAAAGAATTATTCTGAATAGTGGAAGTGTATACTAAACACATCAAATTTTCCCTGTATATTTAAAATATAATATTTGAATTGTTACAATTTACAATATTGTAGTAAATATTTGTATTATTCGCGTTGTTTATTTAATTTAATATTGTTTTATTATCTTTGTTTAATTCTTTTGTTAGTTCTATTCAGTTAATTAGTTAGTTATATTTTAAATGTTATTATTATGGATAGTCAAAGTTTTCCATTTGTTCCATCAGCTAATGCGTTAGTAAGTTTTTCTTAATAAATATGATAAAATGATTTTTAAAAAGTTTTTTTTTAAGTTAATATTTTTAGATTAGTAAGGATGCTGTTCCTAGATTACAAGGTAATAAAACTGCACAAAGGTTTATTCAAAATGCCTACCTTTTTTTTTTACCGAATGAAAACCCTGTTGAGGTAAGTTGATCATTAAAATGTATTTATCGAATTATGTAAATGTTGTAAATACATAAGGAACTTGCTGTGTCTTATTCTTATTTAACCTCACTTTGACTTCTTAATTTTGTAGAATTTATTCCCACTTTTTTATTTTATACCATAAATAATTTTATTATTTGATATCAATACATTATACGGTGTAAATAAATAAATAGGCAAAGTTCTATTTTATTTACTTTTGTTTACATTAATATTGACTAAGAGCACGTATGCTTGGTTGTATAGTCATTTCCAGCCACTTCGAGTCTGTCAAAAAGTTACTAACTTCGAAAAAAAATAATTACTAAAATCACTAGACAGTTCGGACTGGGAATAGCGAACCGGGTATACTCTGTTTATTGTAGTTAATTGAAGTGTGAGCAGTACTTGTTAAAATGTCGAAAACAACAAGATATATGGTTGATATAGTGAAACAGAAGGTGATAGAAGTTTCAAATGAGCAAACAATCAGTGATCATAAAAATTTTGGAAAGCGTTCTGAAACAAATATTATTTTAAATGAATTTCATGATAATACAGGATGAGAATTTTAATAACGAAATAATTAATTAATAACGAAAATGAACAACAGTTTATACGAACAAAAATAGAACACGAAATGGATAACGAATCTTCACCTGATGCCGACAGTATTAAAGATCTATTTGACAGTGACGATTCATTGCTAAATAGATAAAAGTTATTTTCCTAGATCTTCTTCATCTTCCTATGTAAATTCTTCTATTGATAGTGATGACGAAATTATTACTACACCATATGAGCAAGTTCCATCAGATAATAATGAACAGAGTGCTGAGAATAGTGATTGTGATGAATGGTGTGATTTAGAAGAAGATGTAGATGGTGACGATTTTGTAGTAAGAAAGAATACATTAGTTGGTATTGAACCACATGTGGTACGAAACCAATAGACGTTTTTAGTCATTTCGTAAATATTTCATCGATATTTGATTATTGTTAATTAAACCAACATTTATACTGTTTAACAATTACGTATGCGACACTCAAGAAAATCCAGGTTAAATTTATGGACAGCCACAAACAAAAACTGAAATTTTTCACGCCACAATGGTACCTCATTTAAATTTATATTGGTCTAAAGATGATATATTTTATAATAAATTTATAGCAAAAGTTTTAAATAGAGACCGCTTTTTGCTTTTATTGGAACTTCTTCATTTTGAAAATAATGAGACATCTAATACCACTAATATATTATGTAAAATAGAAAATTTAGTTACGAAGTTGATTCAAAATTTTCAAAGAATAATGGAGCCTGGCAACATTCTCCTTTATAGATGAATCTATGGTACCTTTCGGAGGTAGGCTCCATTTTCATCAAGTCTCGAGCCATATTTGATGAATAGTAACATATACATAGATATGCAATGGATTTGCATACATATTATAAAAAAATAAATATAAATAATACTGTAATCACGAAATAACTGTTATATATATATATATATATATATATATATATATATATATATATATATATTGGATTTGAAACTTCCGCGGGAGCTATATGTGATTTCAGTTGTTTTCCGGGTTTGACTCCGCGTTAAGTAATTTTGGTTTTTAGAAAAACCATTGTTTTGACGACGTTTCGGCAAGGTCACACTTGCCATTGTCAAGTCAGATTAGTTCTGCTTCGTCTTTATGTTTCAGGAGAACTGAAACAGAACAGTTCTCCTGAACAGAACAGAACAGAACAGAACAGTTCTCCTGAAACATCAAGACGAAGCAGAACTAATCTGACTTGACAATGGCAAGTGTGACCTTGCCGAAACGTCGTCAAAACAATGGTTTTTCTAAAAACCAAAATTACTTAACGCGGAGTCAAACCCGGAAAACAACTGAAATCACATATATATATATATATATATATATATATATATATATATATATATATATATATATATATATATGAATAATAACGTTATGAAGTTAATATATGAATAAACTGTTTTTTGTGGCATGTCTAAGTTAAATATATAAATATAAATATTAAATGTATTTGTGATTAAGCCACAACTGATTGTAATGACAATTACATTTTTTTCCACTCCGGAAATAGTTTTAAAAAAAAATCATTTTAAAAATTGTGCGAAAGTGTATAACCAATAAGTTGTTAAGAGGATTATATTTTTCAAAACTGATGGTTGATTTAGTTGGCCTCGATATTGTAGGCAAGAACCATGCTTTTAGATTCAACTATATTGACAAAATCGTTAAGTCTCGAGCTATATTTGACGAATAGTAACTTAAGAACAATTTACATATGCATATATTAGTATGTGGCAGGACATCAGTGAGCAACTGGATAAACAGGTTGCTAAGTTAAGAACTTATTTTCAGGTGCAGGCTGAGACATCTACTTTACATCGAGCAATTTGCGCAGTAGATGAGTAAACCTTTGCATGGGCAACATCTCAATGAGATCAGCGAGATGTTGTCGACAATACAGCGTGGAACTATTGGTTGACATTAGGAAATATGTTTCCCGAGACTGAGGGTTTACTACTTACCATTCAGGATCAATATATTTCAGGTAATTCCAACTAAAAATTACCTGAAATATATTGTTAAAGATCCTCAAGTCCAAAATGACAAATGCCGATATGGATGCCAAGCCCAAGAAACCATCCAACAACTTACCAGGGGCTGCCAGGAGTTATGGCTAAATCTGGATAATAATAATTTTAACGGTGCAATTCTATTTTAGATATTTTCAACTAGACGATAAAGTAAATTAAAATTGCTTGGATTAGTCACTTTTATTATACTTATATCAATAGATTGATATAATCGGTTTTGATTTTAGTTAGAATTATTAAATATACTAATATGTATATACTTCGTTCAAAGTTTAACATTTGTGGCTCTAATTTTAGGAAATGCCTCTTAGTGTTACATTTCCGATTGCAATTCTCTTTTTTATTCGATGCTCCGGAAATATTCCGCGCTTATTTTCTTTGTTGACTTTGTTGCGTTTATTGGCGGCCGTTAAAATATTTTCATTACACCATAAACTTCTATTTCAATCGTTGCGGTTCGATCTTATACGGTAATTTCTGTACAAAGTCTTAGAGCTGTTTGTTAGCTGTGTCACTTATACTCCAGTACAAGCCGAAGAAAATGCTGTCTTCCGACGTTAACTTCCTAAATTTAGTTTTGATGGTTCATACGGCGGATCGTTAAAAAAGGTGTAAACACGACGGTTTACAATTGGTTACTACTTTATCTATTTTACTTTATGTTCGCAACTAAGATAAGGTTATGGAACACCAGTCATGTTATAGCATTTGTAAATTCTTTGATATATCATGAATGTGTTGCTTGTGTGAGTCCATTTCAAATAGGTAAAGAAATAATAAATAAGACTTGCTCACAATCAATTTAATTTAACTATCAGACGACCGGTTTCGCTTTCTACAATATGCAAAGCATCCTCAGGTCTCGATACAAAGTTAAACAAATGCTGAAATAATACAAACCCATATTAGGGTGTTGTCTAATAACGATAAACAAAGTAGATGTTGTAAATTACAATAATTATGCTAATATTACATGTCTGTGGTTTTATTTAAATGAGTAAGTTGAATAAAAGGTATAAAAGTTTTAAAAGTTTAAACAGACAAGGTAAGGCCCACAAATTGTTATAAAATAGTCTCTTCGATTGTAATAAATTAATGTTAATAATAAATGAAATGAGCAAATAAATAAAATAAACATTACTTACATGCCGGTACTCTATTAATTGATGGATGGTAGAACATGGTTGAAACTACTATGTATTGTTGAATGGAGAACTCAATTCTATTATTGCAGTTGTTTGACAGTAAACGGGAAGTTCTTGAGGAGATAGATTTGATCCAATGAAGAAGAGATATGTGTGTGATTGTTTGTTAAAAGAAAGTGATGTAATATACCATTGTGTTATTAAAAGCTATTTATACTTATTCGAGAGGTATATTTTTGAAACTGACGTTTAAACTGACGTTTAACAAACGTCGAAAAGGGGAATCCGTTATAAGTCATTATAAACATTTCCTTTAATTAGCTACACGAAATAAATACAGCGTGTCAATTTTAAAACTTACAATGGGCTACATATCATGAACAATAGCTTCGAAAAATGCTTGAAAACAATTCTAAGGTAGTAAAGGGGAACTAAAATGACATGAAAGAGAACTCACCCCCATCAGTCCTCTAGGCCCCACCCACCACAACCAAAAAACATTAAATTACAAACCCCTACTTGTGATACATCATTGAAAAGACTGTACAGGGTGACTAAAGACTAAAATTATACAGGGTGAAGCAATAATTGTGAAACTTGGAAAATTTAATGATGTTTTTGTTGAACTACAAATTTGTTAAAAATGTGAATTAAGTAAATGTTCGAAGTCAGTTCCTTTGTTTCGTAAACAATAATACAGCCTATTTTCAAATTCTGCACGAACTTTGGCAAACGTTGTTCTAGTAATAGCGCGACATGCTTGCGTAATTCTTTCTCGCAATTCCTCAAGTTTGAGGTAACCCCATAGAAAAAAGTCAGGTGGCGGTAAATCTGGTGACCTCCTTGGCCACTCAATAAAACTTCATCTCCGTTCGGATAATTACTATATATCCAGTACCTAAGTGGAGCTGCATAGTGAGGAGGTGCTCCATCTTGTTGGAAGTGCAGCAAATCTTCGTCTAGAACTAGGTTGCCCTGACGGTCCCTTTGAATCTCTAATTCATGCACAATTAAAAGTTTGATGGTGTTTTCCAGCATATCGAAATAAATGTCGCCAATTAAATTGCTTGGTATGAACAAGGGATCAATTATAGCATCGCCCAATACTGCTGCGCAAACATTCAGTTTTTCAGGATATTGAGTGTGACCTTCTCTGAATTGATGCGGGTTCTCATCACTCACATTCATCAGTAAAACAAATATTTTTTAACATTCTCGGTTCAACGCGAATTCTTTCAGCCATGAGTTCGCAAAACTCAATTCCTCGGTCTAGAGATCATCATCGCCTAGTTCTTGAAGACTTTGTGTTTTGTACGGGTGAAACTTATGTAATTTCAACACCTTTTTAACCTACCGGCCAGGAAGGTGAAATATATTTTGCAATAGAGCTAGTAGGCTCTATTAATAAAATGCCAAACTAGAATTTTAGTTTTTATTTAATTTATTCGTCAAAATCATCTTAAATCCAAACTAAAGAATTAGTATGATTGAATAGGTATATTTAAATAATTGTAGTTTCGAATTTAATTAATAAATATTCTAACGTTCGCCTATGGTTAATTGTCAAAAAAGTTGAGGTTGACGTAAAAACAATTAGAGAATTGAAAAACGTCTGAAAACTAGTTAAGAAGCTTACGCCTCTTACTTTTTCTTCTTCACGTGCCATCTCCGCGACGGGGGTTGGCAATCATCATGGCTATTCTGATCTTAGATGCTGCTGCTGCTCTGATGCAATCCAATGATGATCCAATTGAACTAGGTTGTATCTCTCATTACGCATAACATGTCTCAGGTATCTCTCAAGTCCAATTTTAGTTCTCTTGCACAAAGTACCTTTCTCATTTTATTGAAATTTGTACGTGCTTTCTCTATTCGAACTTTGATTTCTTTGGAGTAATCGTTTGTGTGATTAATTATTGTGCCTGGTAGTTTTCAACTTGTTCTAAAGCACTACCGTTAATTGTCAGGTTTTCACCATTATTTTGGGTTTTTGATATCCTCATAAATTTGGTTTTCTTGGTGTTTATTGATAATTCATATTCTTCTCCATACTCAACTATCTTGTTAATTAGCTTTTGGAGGTCTTGGAGGTTGTCTGCTATTATGATAGTATCGTCCGCATATGTAATGTTGTTAATTGGTGTTCCATTGACCTTGATTCCTGCT